GTATCTTCGACTGACGTCTGCGACGCGTGCGATCGACGGTCACCCATCCCGGGGGGGGGGGGGGGTGGTTTTCCCCCCCCCCCCCCCCCCCCCCCCCCGCGCCGCCGAGGGGCCCCGTCTTTCCGGGGCGCCTCTCCGGCGGGCGTCTGGGACGCGGGCGGGCGGCGCCCCCCCCCCGCGGGGGGGGGGGGGGGGAATTGTTCTCCGTCAGCACGATCCGATCACACGACGTTTGTACGGGTGACCGTTTTTTCTCCGACTCCGACGAATGACGCGCGCCTCGAGAATTCATATCGGTTTCCGTGTACGTATTTCGCGTCCGTTCAGTCGGTCGAAAAACGTTCAGCGAAACGCTTACCGACTAACTAACCTGCCCGCGTTGTTTTTGGCTCGGATAACATTCGATGAACGTATCTTTTGTATGCGTGTGAAACATGGCCAACAACTAAATGAGACGAAGACAAATTAGCAATACTCGAAAAATAAATATTAAAAAGAATATTTGGGCCAAAAATAAATAATATCACAAAACAATATGAAAAAAAAAAGTAATACAGAAATACAACAGTTATATTAAGAGCCAGACATAGTAGCAGTATTAAAATATAGGATCTACCCAATTAAAGCAGGAGTTCCCCAAGGTAGCGACCTTTCTCTTGATTTATTTAATGTTTATACGGCTGATATCCCTAAAACCCCAAATACTATTATAGCCACCTATGTTGACGACACCGCAATTTTATCACCTGGTAATTATCCTATAGAAACTGTACATTGTTTACAAACACATTTAAACTTAATAGACAAATGGTCATCCAACTGGAAAATCAAGATTAATCCAGACAAATCAATTTATGTCCCATTCACACTAAAAAAAAATCCATACCCCTCCCCCTCCATTTTCAAAGAATACCAATCTCAATTTCCTACGAAGTTAAATACCTCGGTGTCATACTTGACAAAAGATTGACCTGAGGTCCTCATATCATGTCAAAAAGAAAAACCCTCAATAGTCGACTTCATTTACTTAGACCAATTCTGAAATCAAAACTACCCTTCCACACAAAAATAATCATCGACAAATCTTTATTAAGGCCTACTGGGCTTATGCAATCCAAATTTGGGGATGCGCTAAACCATCTCAGATCCGTACCCTCTAGGCCTTCTAATCCATCACTCTACGCATTATCTCTTCTGCACCTTGGCACGTATCAAATTCCATACTTCAAAATAACTTTAAAATAGAAACAGTAAATCAATTGGCCACAAAACATTAGAAAATATTTCACTCTAAATAACAGTCTCATTTTAATCCTTTAATCGCCGAACTTGCGTCCAACTCGCTTCCTAGCAATTCCCCACGCCATATAAAGAGAAAATGGTGTCATGACTTATTAAATGATTGACAGTTCAATCCATTTAATTTTAATTTAAGTGAAGTTAATAATTAATAATTAATTGGGGAAAAAAAATAAAATAACTTTGAGTTCTATCACTGGGTGGCCTCCCTTCTCATGTGATTAAGTTGTAAATTATTTTTATTGTATTTTATGTTCAAATTTACTTATTATACCTTGCAGAATAGATTGTAAATATTCTTTTCTTAAATAAAAAAAAAAAATAAATAAAAAATAAAAATTTGTAGGAGAATGGTATGGGCCGGTCATGTATAGAGGTCAAATAGTCTTATGAAAGCGGTTTTAAAATGGAAACCTCAGGGTAAAAGACCACTTGGCAGACCGAAATAAAAGTGGATTGACAAAATGGAAAAAAATCTAGCAGAGATAGGAATACGAGAGGGAGAAACAATAGCACAAAATAGAAACAGGTGGAAGCAAGTTTGTGTTGCGGTAATGGGCCTTAATGGTCTTTAAAAACCGAAGAAGAAGAAGAAGAAGAAAAAGAACGTTCTACGAACGGAAAACTATCTCGCCGCGCACACTTTACCGTTTGTGCCGCGCGAATAACGTATAAACAGACGCACACACGTTACGGTCTTCGCACTGCCTTCGTCCGTTGGCTGGCCGTTACGCAGAAAATCGAAATTGTTTTCATTTTTTTTTAATCTCAGCGAAACCAGCAGTGTATTTTTCGTTTGAACCTTTACAAATGTATCTTGTTGAAAATTATTTTTTTACATTTCAGTTTTATTCGTTATTCAACTATTCGCTATTTATTATTCCACGCAATCGGGTTGAACTCAAATCATTCATATATAACTTAAAGTTCCAACTTCATTGATGTGTTCTGTATTTATAAAATTGTATAAGTGTAATCGAAAATCAAACCATAAATATTATTGATATGGATTAGTGGTTTATATTATCATGACTATTGTTATTGTATCGATGTTGTTATTTGAATTATTCCAAGTATCATTTTTTTTTATGCAATCGTTGGGTATTATTCACAAATTACTTTACTAATTAATTTAGAAAAATTAATTTATTAACAATTAAAACTATTTGAAAATGTTTATTGTAAAAAGTTTTCCTTCATTCACAAAATAATCGATTATTTATGTTTTTGTTATTATCCATAACTTAAATTTTTATTTGCCTGACTAGTGTTATACCGATCTTGACACACGCACACGTTATTCGATTCCTCCAATTACTTACTAAATGCTTTCGGGCAATTGGAAACTCTTGCGATTGTAAAAACTGTCCCAGCCCTACTTCAAAACTACTTGAAGGATATATTATATATATACTCTGTATGATAACTTTATAAATTGATCAGTCAAATTTATTTCAAATTTAATGTTTACCACGATATAAACATTCGAATTTTAAATCATGAAAAGGTATTAATTATAGAAAATAATAAAATTAATTTTTTTTTTTTTATTCTTGAGCTGTAACTGTCGTGGTCGAGATATTGAAAAGGAAAATAATTATTTACATTGTTACTTTTAATTATTTATTAAAATTAAATTTGTACGTTTATACTCGTGTTGCTACAGATATTAAATTTGAACGTATATTCAATTTAATCAACGATTTCAATCAAATGTAACAAGCCATTACAAGTTCAAAAAAAATTTACCACCGCCTACATTTTTCTACTGCTTTCAGTTATGTCATAACAGGAAGGTAACGCTCATCTGTTGGAAACCAGCTATGCTTTAAACATTGTAAGACACAAAATGCCTATGGGAAACCGTCATAAATTTTTCCGCGCCACCTTTCAAGGATATTGTGAATTTGGCTTTACCTTAGACCACAATATATACACGGGCCAGAGCTATGAGATATAATAATTATAATAATAATCATGGACCATAGTTTTTACCGTTTTTACGCGTTTTTACCCAATGTCATTAGAGCTCGTTTATTGTTTAAAATTATCGCAACAGCGCCTCCCCCACGTGTTCCACGCCATCAATGATACCCACGTAATAGAAGCTTTTTTTTAGTATCGATCATATGAATATATACTATAATATATTTATAATATTAATATATTCTGTGCTTGGAATACAAAATATGTAACTAACCTTATACCTCCTACTATGTTTCACGTATCGATTACGCATGACTAACGTAGGCTATAGCTACAACCTGTGTACAATATAATCTAATAATAAAATCTGGTATCATACATATGATACATATGCAATCGGGGTGGACCTCTCGATTTTTGAGATTTAAACTGGATCAAATGGTCTATAGCATTTTATAATATGTGCCATTCAAATAAACACTTATTTCTACTAAATTTAAAATATGAGAAGATTTTGGAGTATTGTTCATTGTTATTCATTCGTTTGAAGTTTCAATTGTTTTAACGAAGAATATCGCCGTTCAAATATATATTTTCAGGTAAAATTTGTTGAAGTGATCATTGTGTTATCGGACTTGTAATGTCAGCGCAATCAATTCTATAATATTTTTAGTGTTAACGTCTACGTACCGTACTAAGAAATATTACACGCAAAAAAAGCATAATATTAGGTACAAAGATATTTAATACCACACAAACCTAATACAAATTTCGAAATCAGTATATCGCGGCTTTTTCATATACTCTCTAATACTTCCAATGTTTTTTTTTTAAAATTTCGACACTACGTTAAAGATATTTGTTACAACCTTTAGAACACAATATCGATGGCGATACTAACTTAAATACTTACATTTTGTATGCATAAAAACACTTGCAATAATGCGATTCAACGTCCACCGTGGTATTAGGTAGTTTTTTATTTTATTATTATTTTTTTTATCATATGGATATGTAATAATACGTTAAATATTTTTAATTTTTTTTCGATAAGAAATAATCAACAAGTCAATCGTACAGTATATAGCTTTTATGACAGCTTTTTATTTTTTTTATACTTTTTTACATTAAAAAAAATTTGAACAAAAAATGCTTTACTACACAAATGCAAATACTCTTCCTGTGATTTTTACACAATCAGTAAGATCATTTGTTTAGTTTACATATAAAAATTGCACTAGATCAGCCCTGATAATCCGAGAAAATGTTACTTTTCTCTATTATATAACTTCTTAACACGAGACAAAAACACTAAATAAACCTATACAAATTTCAACAGTCCGAAAATATTAATAGTATCAACAAATATTATACTATATTTTGTGTAATTTCCGTACAATCAAAATTAAATTTGGTATATTATACGTCAAAATATTGTATTTAAAAACATTTTTTTTCCTTGCTTTCCGGAACAAAATATCAAGTACAAATTAATTACGAAAAAAAATATATATATAATCTCATAAACTAATTTAATGTAATATTTTGTTACATTTAAATATATATTGTACTATATAATATATAACAAAATAAAGACACGACACACATTTCAAAATATGTGTAAAGGATTCGGATAATTTAACAAAAAAAAAAAACATTAAAATATAATTACATATTGAGCATTTGTCGACCAATATAATTCTATAATTTAGATAATACAAAATTATATAAATATAAAAGCGTTCACCTGCGTTTTTTGTATATTATAATATTTTATAGAGTTTAAAAATTGTATCCGATCATGAAGAATCCGTAACATAATAATTTCGTAAAATATTTTTTCAAATATATAATAATAATTAACAAAGAAAATCACTTTATACATTATACAATAAACGTCGAACTACACAAAAATAAACCATAATATATTTATATTAAAAATATTATCATATAGTACAATGTATAGACGTAAAACGTTATAGATTATTCAAGTAATAATAAATAATAGTAAAAATAATAACAATAGCGCGAGAAAAAGAACAACCTTTAGAGAAGCTCTCCTGTCGTACAAACAATAATAATAATGTATCTTAAGACATATAACAATACTGATTAATCCAATGCGAGAACGAATAATAAATTCAGGAAAACCTAGGCGAAATCGTAATGACTTTTGGAATATACCGTTTTTTTAATAATATAATAAAATAAAATTAATGGGTCTCGTGGATAGCACGTAATTAAACAAAAAATCTTAATTTTTCTTTTTCGCCAAGATTGAGATTTTTCTTCTTCGAACGTCACCGCAGATTTATATAATAACTAGTTGTAGCTAATTCTTAAACTATGTACCGCGATTCCACTAGAAGACCGTTTGATGAGAGGAGGGGCGTGAGAAATGTGCGTACAACGATTTAATTTTAGTGAAAAAAAATTCCCAATAATTTTAACGATTTTGATGATTCCTACACCTTACAGAATCATAATAAATTCACATTGATTTAATGGTGGGGGGGGGGCACATCATAAAAAAAAAAATAAGGAAGCCGATTTTTTTTTTTTTTTAGAAACGAAAGGCTAATGCTAATAAAGGCTTATACCGACTATTACGATGCCCAGCAGTGCGATTTGTCTGCAATGTTTATAAATCGTAATAATTTTTACACCCGACGACCTGACGTCAAACCGGATATTTTTGAAACGTCGGCGTTTTACGAAGCGCACATATAACAATGCTGTCGGGCCCAAGTTATTCACTACGAATACATGCGAGATCGGTCATCTAGTTCTTATATAAATCCGTGCGCGACACGAACAGCTGATATATTGGTTCGGCGTTTGGAATCTCGTCGAACCGACCAACGCGTTCTCGTCGAACCGGTCGGAAATACTGGTGATTAGTAAAGTTAGTGGACGGACGGTTTAAGGGCGCGTACCGGGGCGCGATCAGGACTGTACGGACGACGAGCTGCCGGGGCCGGGACTGGTGCGCGGAGCCGCGGAAGTGATGGCGGCAGCACTTCCGTGCGACTGCGCGCCATGACAGTGCGCGCAGTGCATGCACACGGCGCAGTTGCCCAGTTTCTGAGCCAAGACGGCGCGGAACTTGAGCGCCGGTCCCAGTTTCATGTTCATGGTGCCCGTCAGGTGTTCCTCGCTGAGTAGCGGCAACGCGGTCCCGTCGATAGACTGTTCCCGGAAACACTGGAAAAAAAATCAAAAAAAAGGAAACGCAAACGTTAGTATACACAATCGTTTTAATACAATACCGATAACAAATAAAACTACGAGCGACGGAGGAAAATTACCACATTGAATCTAATAACGCGATAGCAAAATAAATAACGACTCTTCGTATGGTTAGTGCGTCTACTCCCGATACAAAAAATGTGTTATTACAGCGGTGCGCGCTAAGAATTATAAGTGACGATCGATGTACGAATTGGAATACGTTCTTCGGTTGTTATACATTTGCGGTTGTGACGGCATTAGTAGTGTTGGAACCCGGATTGTCCAGGGTTCGACACACATGGAGTTTAGACAATAGAATTCAAAATCTGAATCCGGTCATCGAATCCGGATTTTGCGGTCATCTTGGATAAATTCTATTGACTTATACATACCTAATGAGACTCGATGAACAACACTGAATCACAACTTTCTCGTCAAACAACGCTTATTTTACACGGCTGAATAATTTAAAACCCGAAATAATCCGGAATTGTCTCGAATCTGGGTCTTACAGTTGTTTGAAACCTGGATTTTTCACATCCGTGAATCCTAATATATATACATACACGAGTATATATATTTGATCCCTAATCGTAGGCAAGTATTTTTATTAGGGGTTGAAGGATATCATTATGAAGATCGACCCCTATGAGGTGTCGTAAAAATTCCTTAATACAAAGAAAATATAATATGCCACAAACATATCCGTGAAAAACACTTCTTGGATGAAACTTTTTTAGTTTTATATTATTTTTAAATATAAAACGTTTTTCGCATATTATACAGTTGACTGACATAAGTGGGACCGGGAAACCTCTCTCCCGGATTTTTCATATTTCTTACTTTCGACTAGGGCTGCAGATAAACATATGCTTATACTCCAACGTGTGCACTTATTATGTGCACTTTCCGATCGTATGTTGAACGCAACGACGTAATTTCCGGTCTGTATGCACACCGCGTTTCAAAGGCGCATCTGCTCTCAGAAGGAATAGAACACACATTTCATAACTTCGCCCAGAAAGCCGTTGAATAGCGTTCATAATATATAACGTTGGCCGTTTGATGCAGTCTGCTTGCATAAACTGTAGTCCGGACAAACGACAACGGCCTTTACGTACCCCCAACCGAACAGCTGGGCCGCAACTCGATGATTTATCGTTATTGCATTCGAAAAATTATTCAGAATGTAACTCGAGTATACTATTAATCGTTGAAGCAATATTATTGTTTTGTGATTACGCGTTGTTTCACGAAACTCATACATAATAGTTAGGAATAGTAAAACCATGAACCACTAGACCTTCAGCGAAAGTTATCAAACTAATAATAACCTATATGTAAACATTATGTAAATCGATACTTTTTCAGTCGCAAATCTAAACACAGAAAAATATTACGTTTCAACATTAATGGAATAATTCCATTAAAATAATTATTATTTTGATTAGTTTTATTTATTTATTTTTTCAATAAAAAAAAAAAAAAAAAGAGTTCAACATTGATTGATAGGTACAAGTGTCTAAATATATATATATATATATACACCGTACGTATGATAGTACTACGCCATGCTACAGATGAATTTACACTGCGGCGTCAGTCCAACAGTTTACTCAGTGCACGCGTCATTATATAATGGCTAGCCATCGTCCGACCGTCTTTACGACTGTATATGCGAAAAGTGCATTTAGAGGCGGGTCCCCGGGGGTCACCGGATCGCAGATGTTACACCGTTTGAAACGAATTCAATCCCGCCCGCAGTCAGATTTTACACACCTATATTAACGTGTAGGTATACTATACACGTACACGTATGTTTATAAATGTATAAACACGTAGTTGGTGTGTACACGCGAACCCTTGCGTTTTATTGTTCATTAACCTCGTAAAACACGCTGAACATTATTCCCGGTCCGTACGGTCGAAAAAAGATAAATTCACGCGAGAAGTATAATAACATTAAACTATTATTAAGGCGAATTATGGCGAGAATTACGATGACTACCGACAAAAACGCCCATCGCCAGTCGGACTTTTTATATTTTTTTTTTCACCGCGTTCAATGTTATTATTTTATATCATTATTATAACGGGTGATGTTATCAGTGATTGGTTTCTACAAGATTACTACCATATTACCATGGCCATGAACGATACAATGTCCCGCATAATTTTGATTTCTCCAAGACGATCGACACCTCGATATAAGAAGAAAAACATACGACCATAATACTGTTACCGCCGACGCCGATTTGTCTACCGTCCGGTGTCAATTGGATATTTCACTCGTGTAAAATATAACCCGACTCTTTCGTTTTAAACAATGTCGTAACGACAACGAGTAACGCCTCTGACTTGGCACGTCTGCCGGTCTTTACGCCAAGGACGACGTAAACGCGTTATTAATACATTATAATATCACGCATGTGTGTACATAAATTATACTCGTATGTATTTAGCACAAACACAAGCCCGTGCGATTACATTTGGAAGATTAGATTTTATCAGGTCCTTCACGCGCGCACACACATACACACACACAAACACACACACGCGCGCGCGCGCGCGTGAAAGTTCTGCTAGTTTTGCCGAGTTAACAATTATAATAATAGTACCGTATAAGTATTGTAATGAAGATACATAGTATTATATAGGTATATTATTAGTATGTATATTATGTATGTTTAACTAACGCCATATATTGTTTACATATTATTCCATGCTTTTATGATGTACGATTTTATCTAGACGAGAAAATGTCATTTCTTTCGAACGAAATAATATGTTTTTATGTTTTTACTTGGTTTTGTTTTACAATCCAGGTACCTACTAACTAAGACAATAATAAAACTATCGACTGTAAACCACAATCACAAACTTCGTCTTATCAACACAACGAAAGTATGTACATCGACAAATGTCACACCCGAGTTATGTGCAACACTGACGGTTATACAATTTTCTAAAAATCCCTAACTCTAAACGTGACCGATTTCAAATTATTAATTGTCAGATGAAGTGCCCGTTGTTTGTTATGCTATGAAAACACTGTTTCCATTACGTCATTTAACAGTACACTAATAAAATCGGCTACGATAAACTATAGGATCGGCGCTTGAAACATAATTGACACACACGTAAATTATATATAGTACCTATGTATATTATGATTTGTAATAATATTATAAAAACCTTAAAATGTTATGTAATACACGAAAGAAAATCACTTATTATCCGAATAAAACGAATTCGTATCGAATTATCGAATTGATCTCAATCGAAGTAATCACGAAAAGCAGTAGGCTCCTCCATGTCTTACAGTTTATCGGTGGCGTACATCTGTCTTGCGAATTGCTTACAGAAATATAAAACAAAACAAAAACGAATCCACGGCCAATAACGCATGTGTGTATGAGTGTTCATGTATGTACGTACATATTTTTTTATCTTTATTATTATTATTGTTATTTTTCTTCTTTTCGTGTTTTCCAATCAACGCAGCAACAGCTAAACAACACAACGTACGGATATGACTACAACTATTACTATTATACGGCTTCGGCTGCGCTATACTACCGTTGTGCCGCGCGCAGCTTCCTTGTACGTTGTAACATGTGCGACGGCCACGTCTCTCACGGTGAAACCATCACGTCTGACCTTTAACACTGACCTCACCGGATCAAGGACTGCCGGGGCCGGACGGACGCGCGCATACACGCGTGCTGTGTACGTGTGGGCTTATAAAATATATGATAAAGATATATGATATATGTGTGCGTGAGTTCTCTTCTCAAAAGTTCGACGTGCGGCACATAGAGGCAAAACGTGGAGGTCACATTCTTCGTTCCGCTCGCGGTGCCCCCAGGTACGGTGAATCGTCGTCAGCGGCGTCTGCGTCGGCGTCGTATTCGTCGTTATCGTCTTCGCCTTCGCCTTTAGGACCGATCAAAACCAGATCGGATCAACCGGTTCATAAAACATATATATATGTTATATTATCATACTGACAAAACTAAAAACTCGTCTTTGCCATAAAACAGCAGCGCCTTCCTATACCATTACCCAATCGTACATTTTTTTACTCTAAAACTCTTATATTTACTTTCAACATAAACGAAAAAAGAAAACGAAAACTGACCAAATCACTTTTTAATTATTTACGCATAGGTATCTATTCGCATTTTTATAGTTTGGACACGCGATTTATTCTTCACCGATTTGTTTCAGTACTCTAATTACGTTTTGTAGCAAACTTTGAGGTTCTATTTTTAAACAGTTTAAAACCGATAAGTATTTTGATTAATTTTAGTTAACTCTACAAGATGATACTACATAACAAATGTGTTTGTATTAAATACATCCTATTTGATTATAATAGCCTGAAAACACTCGGAAATCACAGTTTAAGTAAAATGCAAAATAGATTTGTTTATTTATAATATAATGCGTATAATTAATATACATATAATAGTACAATGAATTTTTCAGTTATTATTGTCAGTCAGAAATCGTCAAATACATGTCATATTACGACATAAAAATATTAAACTTTATTTCTTATTTTCGATAAACAATAATAATTACTAGATTTATGTAGTTCTGTTTTCGTTTTGAGTTTATTGTGGTCATTATCATTTCAAATTATTATAAAGATATCGTAAGTCATGAAGGAAATGCAGGCACGAATGCATAGTTCTAGTTGTGAAAAAGGTTTCCGCGTTAATTCGGAAAAGGGTTACAACTAGAGTGTTTTGTTAAATAACAGTGAATTAATGGAGTTACGTCGGGGGCAGTAGCAAACCGTTCAGCCTACGATACAGTAGCGTATAATGATTATCATAATAATAATACGGTTGTACAGTATTGTAAATGGAGACTTCGTTAGCAGTGATAATAAAAACAAAACAATAGAAACAGAAATATAATCGTCGTCGATGCGAGGAGGAAGAGCAATAAAACACAACCGGTGA